CCCCCCGCCGCCCCCCCCCCCCCACCCACTGCTGCGGGACTGGCTGCCCCAACTGCGTCTGGGTGGGGTACGCGGAGGAGCTGCTGCAGCGGTGCCGGGACGGGGGGGAACAGGCCTTGGCGGCCGTGGAGCAGCACGTGGAGGATGAGAACCTGAAAATGCTCCTCAGGATGGAGATCCGGCTCCGTGCCAAGAGGGACTGATCCTCCCCCGGCCCCCAGAACCTGGTGGGTGACACCCCTGGGAGCGCCTGCTCCGAGCTGGATGGTGGGATCCGGACTCAGCTTCTTTAAGTTATTTATTTGTGTCTGTTGCGCTCCAGGGGTAGGTCTGAGCTCCCCTGGGGACCTGCGTGGTGTTGTGCACAGGGTCCCATGTGTGTTTCAATACAGTGTCCAGGTCACGTCTTGTCTCTCCTCCCTGGTGGAACCTGCCCCTGGGGACAGGCAGCAGCTCACACCTGTCCTGAGCCCTGGATTTCCCAGCAGCCAGACGCCGTGCTCCCCCAGGATGGAAAATCCCATCCAAGGGCAGGCTGGTGTGTCCCCCCCGGCCCTCCCCACTGCTCTTGTGCCGTCCTTCTCTTCCCCAGCTGAGGTTTTTAAGCGTCTTGGCCATGACCGGGTGATTGGGGACCCCCCCTTCCCACCGGTGCCATAAGCCTCTTAGGGGCTTCTCTGCCTGAAGGGCTCCCGGGGGGTCACGGGGGGGCTCCAGCCCCTTCCCCAGGCAGGAGGTGCAGGCAGCGTGCTGCCCCAGCACGTGGAGGCCTGGCAGCCTCCTGGCAAGGGCACTGTCACAGAGGCCACAGCCCCACCGGGTGATCTTCCTGGTGCCTTTTCTTCCTTGGCTGCCTTTGCCTCCATCTTAAAACCCCTGTAATTTGGCCCAGCACGTCCCCCCCCTCCATCCCAGTGGCTGGGCTGGGGGACTCAGGTTCTGGGCCATCGGGACCCCCACAGACCCCCCCTCAAGGAGCCACAGAGCCCTTGAGCAGCGCTCGCTAACGAAGCCCAGGCTGGAAGCAGCAATTAACACACCAGGGCCCTGCTCTTTGCTGGAGAAGTAGCTGGTTCTGCAGCCTCGGTAGGAAACGCTCCCAAGATCCCTGTAATCCTATTTATCAGAGTCCAACTAATTGCAATTAGTGGCGAGGGCTGAAGTTCAATTAAAAGTGTACCAAGATTATTTCTTTTTATAATTGCTTTAGTGTTGGGATTAAGGGAAGCTTTGGAGTGATACTGTCCTGGAGGCTGCGGGGCAGGGGCTGCCCAGACCCTCTTTGCCCAGATTTTGGCCCAAAACACCCTTGGGCTCAGGCAGTGGGTCCCTCTGTGGGTGATTTACTGCCCGTCCTGACACCGGCAGTCCCAGCAGCTCTAATCCAGCCCCCCCGCCCCAGCGCAGGGTGGGGGGAAGGACAGCAGATGACCCCTCTGAGAAGAAGGGACGTAAATAATCCTATTACCCCAGAGCAGGATAAATCCTCCCTCCCCCTAAAAGGCACCCGGAGTGTCTCCAGGACGGGCCCAGGGGGCACAGGGTGTCCTGGGGAGCAGCGCTGGCCTCGGGCACCGCGGCAGCTGCGTAAGTGGGGGCTCTGCTCTGTGTGGGGTGGGACCGGGTCCTGCTGGCACGGGGGGCTTGGTGAGCTCCCTCACCCCTGCAACTGGGGTCTCTGGCATCTCCCTGGGCTGGGGTCTGCACTGGGGTCCGCAGGGAGGGTGAAGCCCCTCACACCCGTGCCGGGAACTCCAGTGTCTGGCTCTTGGCGTGGCTGCCCTGGCTGGAGGGGACGCGGGCACGGCTGGACACAGCCCAGGTGCTGCCTGCTGATGCCCACCTCGGCTGGCACCCTGCACTCTGGGGCCACCTGGGGTGGATGCTGAGGGGTCTGCAGCCTGGCCTGCCCACTGTCCCACGGGACACCTGGCTCCTGTGGCTGCACCGATGCCAACGCCCTGTGGCACAGACAGCTCAGCATGGCGGGGGCTTCCTGGG